GTTTTCCATGTAATATTAGGTCCCACCTGCAGAGAAGATTGCCTTTACCCTCTCTCAGCCAGACACCTGAGCTTTTTGAGCTGCAGAGTGGAGACCATTCTGCTTAGCCTCATTGGGGTGGGGGAAGACTTGCTCAGAGCCTCCCTGTTCTACTGTCTGGCTTCAGGGATAACACACCAGCCAAAGTTCCCTCAGCACTAGCGCTTGACCTAGGACGGCTTTCCCCAGCCAGGGCCACAGTCCCCCTCGCATTGCATTTGCTTTTCCAGCCTACCCAGGGACAGTCAGAAGGCCCTTCAGGTGATGGCCTCATTTATCCTACAAAACTCCTGCCAGGGAACCCTGGCTGGAGCTGCTCTCACCCACCAAATGGAAGCAGCTGCTGCCAGAGGTACAAGAACAAAATGAGATGTGTGATTGTTTATATTCAGTTGAGAAAATGATGGGGTCCGAATTCAGTGTACCAACAGATCTATTTTTCTACCAACTGCCATCTAAAAAGAAGGTGTAAGATTAAGGAGAAGCCCATCCTGGCAGGAAAATTAAACTCAGGGCCACATGCTTGCCAGACAGGCACTCTAATGTTGAGCCACACCTTTAGCCAAACTAAATGGCTTATTTTCATTTGCAAGGAAAAAAATAGCCAGATGTTCATAGATCATTCCTGTAATCCTATGTACGCGGGAGGCTGAGATCTAGAGGATTGAGGTTTGAGGCCAGCCTGGGTAGAAAAATTCAATAGATTCCATCTCTAATCAACTACCAAAAGGTCAAACTGGAGGCGTGGATCAAGTGATAGGCTCTGAATTCAAACTTTAGTACTGTCCCTCCACCCTACACAAAAAATCTAGGTTTGAATAATGAATCCTTAGATCACTCCTTTTACAAAGCAGAAATGGAGTTAGGACTGGAAATACACATAGGAAGTAATGTAGGGCACAAGACTCCTGTGGTGACCTGGCAGAGCCTGAAGGAGAGAGACAGATTGGAAAGGGCCAGGTAGATTTTTTATGAATCACAGGTTGCTGGCACTGTCCAGCCATATTCTTGTAGGATACAGATGTGGGAGTTCTTTGGGGTCATCTAGTCACCTTATTTTTCTACTAGGAGACTGGCTAAGAGAGAAAAAGTAACTTGCTCCAGGACACAGACTGATTCCAGGAAAAAGGCAAGAATGTATCCCTGAGAAGTTAAATCCAGGTGCTATTTCCTGGGAGACAGACAGACAAATGTGATACTGAAAGCTGCGGCAAAGGAAGGATAGACACAAAAGCCCTAGGCCTGGGAAGAGCCCTAGACCATTCCACACCTTTGAGACTAAGGATAGGGAAGGTTGGGAAGGAGGATTGCAAGGAGGACAGAGAAGATCAAGCACGGGCTTCCTGAGATTGCTTGAAATGTGAGGCTGGAGCCTGGGTGAGACCTGGAGCCACAGGTCAGGCTGGGTGAGGTCAGTGGTAACAGGGCTCTCTAGGATGGTGGCAACTAGGACTGGAAGGGTCTAACTGGCAAAAGGCCTAGGAGAGAGTGACAAGAGATAACAAGTAAATGGAAAAACAAAGGAGGAGGCAACAATGCTTGATAGGAAATGTACTCATTCCCTTGCTCATGTAACTGTAACCCCTCTGTACAGTATTTTCATAATAAAAAACTTATTAAAAAATGAAAGAGTAAACAGGACCGAGTTAGTAATTTAATTATGGAGGCTAAATATTTTCTGTGAGATCTCACTGACAGAGACCTACTAGGAGCAGCAGTCCCATAGCTCAGTGTCTCTCCCGTAACTCCTTCACAGGGCTGCAGTGGTGGGAAAAACCCCTAAGTAATTCAGTATCGTCCCTGACCTCTGCTTAGTAAATGGGAAAACTGAGTCACAGAGAAGCTAGCTCTCCATGATATTTAGATACATTCCACCAACAGCCTAACCTTCCAGGCTTCTCATCATGGTGTGGAGGGAGGGCAGTACTCATCTGTGGTTTCACCTATCCGAATGGTTGTCCCTGTGAGAAGCCCAGTCTAAGGGTCCAGGATCCTGTTTCTCTGTTCTGTTTTCCCATCTTCTAACTACCCATGTGATGGTGGTGATTTACCTTGTCCCCCCTTTCTTGCTCATCCTGGTTATCAGGAAAGGATTCTGGCCTTTAGAATCCCAAGTCTCGTGGCTTCTGGTTTTCCAGTGGGTCCTGGCTTCAGTAGTTTAACCATCTGCTTCACTGTGTTGTCATCTCTTCCATCTTGTCTGCAGTCTGTGTGCACCCTCATGGACTAGAGCAAAGTATCCATCCTTAGGTTTCAATTTTCTTTGGCAACGTAGGACACAATGAAATACATGTAAAATATGATTTTTTTCTGTGTTGGTATTGAGACTGGAACTCAGGACCTGGGTGCTGTCTCTTAGCTTTTTTTCTACCACTAGATCTACAGTTACACTTCTGATTTTTTGTTGTTGTTGTTTTGGTAGTTATCTAAAGATATTAGTCTGATGGACTTTCCTGCCTGAGTTGGCTTTGAATTATAATCCTCAGATTGCAGCCTCCTGAGTAGCTAGGATTTACAGAGGTGAGCCACCAGCACCAGGCCAAAAATGTGATTTTTTTAAATAACAAATTTGACCTAGATCTGTTAGTTAACTTCCACTGAACTTTCAGGAGATTGAGTTAAATATCTACATTGATGGTAGGTAATCTGTTAAGTATATGAGAACAAAAATAACAATCAACAGCAGATAGACTATAGACCAAATGATCTACTGTAAGCCTGAGGTCTCTTACACATGTCCACATGAGTCCTGTACAGCACTATCATAGTATGAAGACTCTCACACATGACATGAAAAGAACCTCAATCTCCTGAAAAAAATCAGAAAATAGTTTCGATGTAGATGAACTGAGCACCCACTTTTGTTGAGTGAAACTTCTTTGATGATGCCTGTTCAAATATCTGCAAATATTGTGAAAACACCCCCAGTTACTGTGGTCATGCAGTCTTCAAAAACAAGGGGGAAGTCACAAAGTACTGAATGTCATGTACATTCAGTGCCATCTCAGTCTGTCTTAACCTTCTTTTCTCAAGGTCAAATGGTAGTTTTTAAACCAAGCATACAGGAAAAGCCATCCCAGGCCAGCATAGGAGCAGCCTGGGGATGAGTCTGGGGGAGAACAAGAGATTTAGAGTAGCATCCGTTCCCCAACACTCTCTCTAGATGAGAAGACACTTAGAGAGGGACTGTGGTGACCTAAGTCGTGTAACTATAAGCAAAGCAGAGCAAGCTCTGATCTCTCCACCCACATAAACTCCAAGTGGGGCTTGCTGGTAGTACCATGTGGGGCCCAGGAGCATCACCTCTGAAAATAGGTCACAGTGGACAGAAGGAGGGGAACAAAAAGAAGTAAGAACAAGTGGTAGACGAAAATGCTAGACGGAATGGAAAGAAAAACTCAAACCCCTGTGTTCTCATCACCCTGAATATGCAAGAAGGTAGAGGAGGGTATCTGGGGCTCCAGGCTGGGTCATAGAAAGCCAGCCTGTGCCAGCAGGAATGGTGCTTGGAGGAGTGGAACTTGGGGCAGAGAACAAGGAGGCTGGTGTGAGAATCAAAATAGCAAGAACTGTTCATATGCCTGAATCACTGTTAGGCCAACTCAGTGTACTAGGAACCCAAGACTCAGATGAAACATGTCTCTAAGATGAACTCAACATTTCTTCTGTGTGTGTGTGTGTGTGTGTGTGTGTGTGTGTGTGTGTTCCAGTTCTGGGGCCTGAACTCAGGACCTGTGCATTGTTCTGTGCTTTTGTGCTCACAGGTAGCACAAAAACACATGCAGACTAACTATCACTAGAGCAATAGTTACACTTGCAGCTTTTGATGGTTAGAGATAAGAATCTCATGGACTTTCCTGCCCAGGCTGGCTTTGAGCTTCAATCTTCAGATCTCAGCCTCTTGAGTAGCTGGATTACAGGCATGAGTCACTCATGCCCAGCAACACTTCTTTATTTTAAAATTAACATCACTGAAAGCTTAAAATAATGTCAGACCAAAAATAACACCTCTTAGGCAAATCAGCTGAAGATCCCTTATGGGGACACCTATTTTTTTCCACCCATTTCTAAAGACAGAGGACACCTGGTAAAAAAAAAAAAACTGGGTTTGGGTAAAGAAACACAATCCTTGGCGCACACCATTTCTCAGTGGTGCTGAATGGAAATGACATCATGGAAACGTATGTGTGCCAGGGTCAGCCTAGAGGGTTTTTAGGTGACAACAGGAGATTTAATCACCAGTGGGAAAGTGTGTGTATGTGTGTGTGTGTGTGTGTGTGTGAGTGTGAGTGTGTGTGTGTGAACCTCAGGAATTTGCTGTTACCTATTGCTTTCTGCCTTCCGTGACACTGTTCTGGTTAAATGCATGAGGCCAACTGCCAGATTTTTCCACACTGTGGCTCACTGTAGGCACATCCTAAATAGCTGTACTTGTTTCATTTGCAAGGAAATGAAATGATTGTTACTGAGAAGAAAAGAAGTTTGTCTTTTAGTGAAGGGCAAGGAACCTGTGACACAAAATGGCCATCCCAGTGGTTAGTATGAGTAGTCCAATTTGTGCAACATTCCCTCTGGTGACAAATGTGAGGATGTAGTAGGCTCAGAGCATGTGGAATCTTTTGTCTTAATTAAAAAGTATAGTGGGAGACATGGAATTTGGCCAAGCCTCATAAATCTACTGTCACAGAAGTTTAAAAAGAAGCAGTGGAGCCCCCTGAGAATACAGCAGATTCCCTGCTAGTAGTCAACACCCACTTTCCTGTCACTTCTGCACTCCATGGACGGCCAGGGGCTCATTAGCCAGCAACACTCCCCCCACCCGCCCATGACAAGTGCATCCCCACGGAGCACAAAATTCAGAGATGATAAATTTACTCCTGCTTGTAAGAACAGAACTCTCCTCCGGGCAATACAAATGCCAGGATGCTTTAAGGAAATGAGTGCTTTATCTGATAACCTACCTTCATTAACAAAGCCTGGTCCATGGGGTCAGGACAGCTCTGCACTGCCAGTGAGAACTGCTGTAATGTAACTGGAAAGGAAGAAACAGAAATGGTGAACGGCCTGGCTGTAGACTGATCATGAGCAGCATGGAGAACCTTGTGTACACCGTGGATATCATGGCATACTCGCTGTGCTTCTTTGGTAACACAGTAGAGTACCTTACATGGGACAAGCTCTGTGCACAGTGACTTGTCTGCCCAGCCAGCTGAGCTCACATATGAGCACAAGGCTATTATCACCAGCAACACTCCACTGGACACCATTGGGAGACCTAGGTTTAGCCACGATGTGGGCCATCTTATCCCCCAGAGATTAAACTATCCTAGTTCCTATGATATCCCAGTTTGTGGGACTGGACTTAAGTGCATGTATAGGAACCCAGTACCACACTGCAGGTAAAGTGCTCTCCTCATGGGCTGGGTGAGTTTTATGAGGCCAGCACCTCAGGACCCTTGCTTCACAGAAAACACCAGGCAACTCTGAGGACCAGTGGAAGCCTGCAGAAGCAGAGTACACCTGTTTCTGTTGATTTCCCTTTGCTTGTCAGGCTGATACCTTAGCTCACTCCACTATGGTTTCTACCAAATCCTCAAAGAGAAAAGGAAGGATGGGGACACAGTTGGGCAGTCGCTGCTCACCATGGCCACTGTCCTGGCTTCACTCTTCAATGATAGCTCATGCAGAGAGCATCACTCAGGACAAGCTGATAGTTCTTTCTTCCTCTCTTCCTCTTCCCTCCTTTCCTTTCTCGCTCCATCCCTACTTTCCTCTCTTGACAGTACTGTGGTTTGAATGCATAGCCTTGAACTTGGTAGGCAGACACTACCACCTGAGCCGTATCCTAGCACTTTTTGCTTTAGTTATTTTTCAGGTAGGCTCTCTGTTTTTGCTCAGACAGGCCTAGGACTGTGATTCCCCTACCTCTGACACTGCATAGCTGTTATTACAAGCATGTACCACCACACTTGACTAAGTTTTAAATAGAAAATGGGACAATCCTCAAAATGAAAGCATTAATATTGCTGACTTTTTTTCTGTATCCGTGGCTGGTTCAAGAGGCTGAATGCTCAATAAAAGTGATGTGAGCTGCAAAACAAGCCCAGCAGAGCACTAGGTCTCACTGACAGCATGCTTTTCCTGAAGAACTGTAGATAGAACCTAGAATTTCCTTCATTCAACACATGGTCTTAACTGCCTTTCTCATGCTTGCTACTTTTACTTCAGTGCATAGACACTGGGGCCTCCATCTGGTGCAGAGTTATCTTCTCCTTTATTAACCTTAGCACCTTTGTGTGATGAACTGGAGCCTGATAAAAGAAAACCCTTATATAACAAGTGACTTTGAGGTTGGGGGAGACCCTATTTAAGTTTTTTTTTAAAAAGGTCATTTGTTGCCATATTTATATTTATAAGATGATTTCTTTGTTGTTTTGTATGTCCCTCCCCCACGGTATAACCCCTGCTTTCACTGTATTTGATGTTGGTATAATTTGTGGAGGGGAAGGGAAAAAACAAATTGTTTAAATAGGGATACAGGTGGACCCATTGCAACAATGAGATGTACAAGTTGTTATGTTGAAAGATGAACTTTACAACTTTGGCGGGGGATAGGGGGTGGGGGTGGAGGGGGGAGTGAGTGGGGGGTGGTGGTGGTTGTGCGGGGGTGGGGGGTGGAAAGGGGAAGGGATGGGAAGGGCAAACAAAGGAGGAGGCTACAATGCTTGATAAGAAATGTACTCACTATCTTGCCCATGTAATTGTAACCCCTCTGTATGGTATTTTCACAATAAAAAAAATTTTTTTTAAAGGTCATGTGTAAGAAGAAAATACAGACCACTCTGCAAAGGCGATAGGGCCTTGAGAGATGGGAGGTACCCACAGCTCAGGGATGGCATGTTGTTGCAAATCAGAATAACAAACAAGACAAACCAAATGCATAATGCTATAGTGTTTATTTTCCTTTTTGAAGGAAGAGATAAGAGAATAAGCAGGTTACAACTGACCTGGACACATGACCCAGACTTGGGGTAGTCTTGCTCAGAGATCAATCTTAGAATGTTCTTTCAACTTCTCTCTCACTCACCACATCCCAGTCAGCTCTGTCATCAGCTCCTACAAGAGCATGGAATGTGTGACCCTTCTCTCCATCCCCATGTCTTCCCTTCTATGGCAAACAGCCCTCACTCTGAAAGTAGGTTTCAGCACAATGAGTTCTATCCCCACTCCTGGGGCCTCAGCTTCTCCATCATGGTGACATGGATGCTGCTTCTCTGAAGCAAACCCTTCTTTCAGCTCCCACAGCCACCTGGTCCTTGTCCTCTGGCTTGCTGCTCACACCCACTTGCTTTGGTCTTCATCCTGAGTCTCTCCAAGCATCACTTTCTCCAAGCCCAGGGAAGTTTCTTTCAAGGGAGCTTGGAGGTGGGGGGTCACTCTGTAGCTTGGCCTCTCCTGGGGCTTTCCCCTGCTACCCAGAAGTATCCCAGCTCTTCAATGTGGTGTTCAGTACACCGCACAGTCACCCACCCCAAGCCACTTCTCCATGGTCCTTCTATCAATGAGAGAGAAAGCTTTTTTCCTAAACACTTCCCTTCTGCCTAAACAGGCCCATTGTCATTCTCTGAACAAGCCCTTCACTTGGTATAAGGGAGAAAGAAAGCCACACACCTGCATTACCAAAAAACCCTGAGTTGTTGGCCCCAGCTAATGCCCCCCAAGCATCAGCCTTGCATGCTATGGGGTTTGGCCATGAGCCTCTTCTGTTTTTTCTGCTCAGGTGGAGGGTTCCCCCAAACCTCACCCGTACCCCCCCCTGGCTTGTGCTTGCAATAAATGCTTCTCCATGCAATTGCCCCCTGGCTTCCCAGCTTCCAGTTTTCCATGGGACCTGTACTGGAGCTGTTGGCCATGAAGGTCATTGTGACACTAGTTCATCTTTGTGGTTGTCTTCTTGTGAAGCAGCCATACAAGTCTATTTTTTTTTCCAGGGCTGAGGACCAAACCCAGGGCCTTGCACACGCCGGGAGGGCGCCCTTCCGCTGGGCTAAACCCCCAGCCCCATGCCATACAATTCTAATATTGGGATGCTAGTCACGCTTTAAGAGCCTGTATTCTGTGAGGCCTTCTGTAGTCCCAGGACATCCTGTACCTTTTGTGGATTCATCAGACCCCACATGTATGAAGACACGTATGTTCACATCTTATTCTCTCTCCTAGAGGCACTAGATTGAAATGTGCCTTGTTGTTCTGATACTCTGAACCCAAAGTCTGGTCTCTACCTCACTCCCGATGACATCTGAGAGAAGGGAAACGTGTCAATGGAGACTGACCTTCTGTGGGCAGATATATGCTAGTTTAGCTAGGACAGGAACAGTAATAGTCTCATTGACATCCTGTGCCATGGGAGTGAGATGTAGATAACTGACTGCCACGTCCTAGATATGAGCAGCAAGCAAAGGGGGTGGGGAGGGTGAAGGGCCAAATCCCATCAAGTGATCATTTACTCAGGGAGAGGGAGACCACATACTATGGAGACTCTTTCTGGAGCCTCTAGACTCCCTGTGTGTCAGGAGGTGGCCTATCTTCATGTGGCCAATGTAATTGGATTTCTCTGGGTATAGCCAAGGTCAAGGATATAGAGCCAGACTTTGTTTTTTGTGCCAGTCCTGGGGCTTGAACTCAGAGCATAAGCACTGTCCCTGAGCTTCTTTTGCTCAAGGCTAGCATTCTGCCACTTGAGCCACAGCGCCACTTCTGGCCTTCTTTCTGTCTCTGTCTCTGTCTCTTTCTCTGTCTCTATCTCTGTCTCTATCTCTCTCTCTCTGGGTGGTACTGAGGAATTGAACCCAGGGTTTCATGCATGCTAGGCAAGCACTCTACCACGAAGCCACATTCCTAGCCCCAATATAGAGCCAGAGATGGCATCAGAGCTGTCTCTATCACGCATCTTCTCCTCAGTGTCACCAGGACTAGACAATAACACCATTCACCATGAGACTGCTCTGTGCCACCTGCAGAACCCTTTCACACCTGGCTAAAAAGAAAATGCAATACTAAAATTCCACTGGAGGTCACCTCAGCACCATTGTCCCTTTAGGGACAGGATTTGGCCAATTTTGCAAAACTAAGATTTAGAAATTCTGGACATAGTACTAAAGACAGGAAGGTAATGGGTAAGGATAGCTGGCAAAATCTCCAGAAAAGCATGCTGGGACCTTGCTTCTCTCCAACATTCCCTATTGATAGTGGACATTGACAGTGAAAGCTTCGGGCCTTCACACATGGGCTGACTTCAGAAGGTTGAACATGGCGGGAGTGGGAGGTGGGGCTAAGAAAGGTTGTACCATATGGACCATCACTGAAGACCAATAGAGTAGATGCTACACTCCAATGGTTTAAATGCTGGTTTGTCATGCATCAGTGGGAGTCTGAGAGTCTCAACTTCTCCAGGACATCCTGTCATTGTGGTCCCATGATCTGAAGCAATACCTCAGTTTCACTTCTTGCAAAAGGTAAAAGGCTAGAGCAATCTGAGGCCATCTGCTCATGGCCACCTCTGATCCTGTGTGGCAGGGACGGACTATAGATACCTCTGGGGCTTAGGACAGAAGCCAAATGTCTCATTAAAATAGGCTTTTTAGTGATTAGCAGGAAAATGCAACTGCATGCTCATGGTCTAGAATGATTTTGCATGCATTTTAATTTATATTAATCTGCTTGGATCTGAAGAACACAGAATATGCATGGGGTGAGGAGCTGATACTGTCCTGGGGAGTTGTTCTATACATGAGAAGCAGCTATTTTGAACTTTTTGAAAAGCCATTTCATTAAATGCCATGTTGTTTTGTTGATTGACCTGTGTATTTGATCCTTCAGTTCAAGCCAGAATTGGTTATAAGCTTTCTCTACAAGTTCTATGTGCTATTTTATGTTTAAACACAGAAAAAGAATCGCCTGCACTTAAAATATCTATGGGAATTTCTTGGTTATTTCGGCAATTAAAAGAGAATTTCCGAGTGATTTTTCAAG